GCCCTTACTGCGAGAGCCTCCGGCCGCGCTGCGCCGGCTGCGACGAGGTAGGGATCGGCCGACGTCCCTCTGCCTGGCGCTCCCCGCCTGGCACGGGCTAATTCAGAGCTTCTCTGGCGTGTGTCTTACCCTGCCCGCGCCTCCCGGGATGCCCTCGGGGAGCTCGTCCATCAGGTGCTGGTCACCAGGGCTGCGGTGCCTGAGGAAGACGGGGTGAAGCATCCTGACGCGGCTACCTGTGCCGTAGCTATCTCAGAGCAACAATCCAGCTCTGCGTTTAAAACCTGATGGTTTTGTAGTGCTTAATCGCAGTCTGTGACTTGCTCAGGAGCAGTCCCATGCCTTTTATTTACCCGTTCCCGAATCCTGGCCTCCAGGGCTGGCGGGCTCGGTGGGCATCCCGGGGTGGAGCTCCCCGCTCCCGCTTGGCGAGGCGGTGCAAATAAGCCATTGTCTGTCTGTCCCATAGATCATCTTCTCGGAGGACTACCAGCAGGCAGAAGGCATGGCCTGGCACAAGAAGCACTTCGCCTGCCTGGAGTGCGAGACGCTGCTGACCGGCAAACCCTTCGCCCTGGACGCCGCCGGTCTCCTCTGCACCACCTGCAGCAAAAGCAAACGCCTCTGAGCGGGAGCAGCCCGGGGCGCAGCGGGCTCCCCCAGCGCCCGACAGGACTGGGGTTGTTCGACAAGTACCTGCGAAGGGGAAGGTTAAAAAAAAACCCCAAATTAGAGCCTGGCTATTCACTTGCAAGCAACTCGGTGCCCCCCTTGCATCCAGCGCAGCTTGCAGGAGAGTGTTCCCTTGGGGAGGAGGCGAAGGGACCTGGCGCGGCTGCGGGGGGGAGGTACGCGGCGCGGCTGAAGGGGGGACTGAAGAGGGGGTTCTGGGTTGTGCTGGTTTTGGTAAAGTCTCTCTAAGCTTGTTGTGACTCAGATCTTGCAATAGTCGTTTGGAAATAACACATCTCAAAAGTAACTTTTGGCATACTAAACCTACGGTCGTGGTCACAAACGAGGGTTGTTCTTATTTTTTTGAAATCCATACTGGAAGTTTACACTAACAGGCTGCTGACAACTGTACTAAAGCAATGGGTTTGAAGAATTTGATTAACCTGCGTGATTACTGTCTGAAAGCAAATGATATAAAATGGCAGCAACGCGTAGCTGTAGCTTTCTCCTCCTAAGCATGCGATAATGCAATAATAACGTGTTGGCGCGGGGCGACCGGTTGAAGCCTGGTGTGATGGGGAGGGCGCAGCGCTGCCCCGGGGCAGCCGTCCCCCTCCGCCCCTGCGACCTCCTCCCGAGACGAAGCAGCGCTCCCGGCAGGTCCCACCGCCGGGCTCTGGCCTCTCGCCTGCCGCCGCCTGCCTGTTCCTGCCGGCGAGCCTGTTCCCACAGCGCGGCATTGTGTTCCCACCGCCGCGCTGGAGGTTGTTAAGCATTTCAAGTATGGGCCTTTATTTCAGCTGGGTTTGACCGGGAATGTTATAAAAAATAGCTTTCCAGCTGAAGCTGTCTAGGGAGAGGGGGGATGTGTGTGTGCACGTGTGCCTAAAATGCTGCAATAACAGTTTTCCCCTGTAATACGTCAGTGAGCCCCTCCAAGACCCCGGGAGCTGTACCCTCCCGTGGGAGCTGGCAGCACCCTCGCCCTGGGCTCTGCCCTGACCCTCGTCCCGCAGCTCTCCCCTCCCCTGGGGACATCCCCGTCCCCTCTTGGGTCTGATAGGGGTGACACCATCCCAGGACCCAGCACTGACTTTCTGCAGATAGTATTTGTTCCCTGCATCAAGCGATGCTTCTGGTAGTCGCTGAAAATATCAGCTAGTCCAGGCTGGCAGATGTCTGCGCGCTCAGTCTTTTTTCTTCTATTAAATGTCTAGGTAATTTGCCAGAGAACTGGAATATTTTTGCAGAGGTGAGCGTGCGAGGAGCTCACTGTTGCTGCGTTTTCTTTCTGCTACAGAAGACGCTGGTTTCTCCTCCAGGCGTGCTCCGTGCTGTGGACGTTTGCTTGCTTGTGATAAAATAACTTGCAAATGAGAGTTGGGGGAAACGCAGCGGGGTCAGAGCGCGCGAGCCGTGGGTGGACTCTGCCCGTCGCGTCGGGGCGGCCCCGCGCCCCCCCTGGGAGGAGCAGGTCAGTCCACCACCGTGTCTCAGCAGGTGGGACCGATGTGGGGTGAAGGCGTACCTGTACGTGGGGTGTGAGTGCCTCTTGGGCTTTGTCCAGCCCCGCGCTCCTGCGGGGTTGCTATTGGCGGCCCCGCGCCCCCCCTGGGAGGAGCAGGTCAGTCCACCACCGTGTCTCAGCAGGTGGGACCGATGTGGGGTGAAGGCGTACCTGTACGTGGGGTGTGAGTGCCTCTTGGGCTTTGTCCAGCCCCGCGCTCCTGCGGGGTTGCTATTCCCAGAAGCGCCGGGGTATTTAAAGAGAGTAAAGGAAACGCTGCCGCTGGAGCAGAGCGGGGATACCCCGAGGCGGCAGCGCCAGCCGTCGCTGTGGGGGGGGGGA